CAGGTTAATCAGGCGCTTCCAAATTGGTTATAGCAGGGGGAAGAAAGAGGTACGGATTATGGATACCTGCTGAGGAGGATGAGTATTTGGTTCTGGGTAATGATTTTTGCACATCATTCAAGTCATCTTAAGTGCATATGATCCGAATCCTCTATTAAATTTTATGTTCTTGTGAAAAGAGGGAAGTGCTGTAATATGCTATTTTTTATTGTTACATTTGATTTTAAATATATTTATTTAGATATTGCTAGTAACATACTCAGGATGAAAAAACAAATCTAAATATTGGACTTACAGCGCTTGCATTAGGTTAGAAAATTTGTGAGTCCCAAGGACGCAATTTTTTTTAAAAAGTGTGTCCTTTGAAAAAAATGTGTGTCCCCTATTTCTAGCCTGTTTTGAGGTATAACTTTATTTTAAAAGCATTTTTTACCAAAACACCTTGAAGTTAATTTTGTCACATGATTGTCTTTGCTTCAACACAACAATAGGTCAGTAAAACATCTTTCCAATGTTACTTTTATTCTGCACATTCTGTTTTTTTCGGCGAATTTGTTTCCTTTGGAACATCGCGTACAAATGACACACTTCATTCCTATAATAATATTGGAGTTGTCTTTTCTAACTGGCTGTAACCAATCGAACTCTGTTTCCCATTCGGGAATCATGGCGTAGAATAATGGAAATAACGTCACAACGCATGCGCGTAAATCGACATTTCATGGTCCAAAGATTTCAATGGAGAGCAGTCTTCATCAAAATTTAAAATCTTAATAACTTTTTAGCAAATCATTTATTTTCTTAGGATTCAACGGATCCTTGTTACACCCAACGAAGTGTTCATTTTGATATATAAATCAGTAAAATCCATTCATACATGTAGATCTTTCGGCCTTTTAATGATTTAATTTTTGGGGATATTTTGCTAAAATCCCCCATTGGCCGCCATTATAAACTTGGAAAAAACTCAAATCCTCATCATTTCATATCATTTGTTAAGTGATCTAAACAACTCCAATCGCTTAGGATTCAACGGATTCTAAGAGATCAAAGATAATACAATGTGTTGACAACCCCCGTTTCAGTATTTGTCGCATAATCTTTCGGCCTTTTAAGTTATAAATTTGTCAATATTCTGATTTTCGACCATTAATGATGTACTTGGATCCGAGATTCATTGTCCCGGGATTCATGACGCTATTTCCATTATTCTTCGCCATGGTATGTTCTAACCTGTACTTGTCATATTTTCAGTTTTTGATTTCTTGCCGCGAATTTAAAACGGAAGTAAACATTAAGTACGGACTGATGCATGTCCGTTCATTCGACAATGAATACATTTTGTTTCATGAATAACCTAATATTTGTTTCTGAATAGGAAAAACTGTGGCGTGTCATGGTTTCAAATCTAAAAATAAACAAAGGTGAGAGATCATAATTATTTGTTTTTGTTAGCACAGGCTGGTATCGAAATATTTGTCCGCTGTGACGGAGCATGCTATTTTTCATAAAAACACTAAGAATACTTCACGATTTATTTTTTAACTCATATGTTTCGTTATACAGTAAAACTTGTGTATAGTGAACATTTTTTTGCCAAGAAAAAACGTTCACTGTAGGTAGGTGTTCACTAGAGAGAGGGTAATTTATACAGAAGTCAGTGGACTATGTGCGTAGGAAGGGTGTCTACTAGAGACAGGTGTTCACTAGAGAGAGGTGTTCACTAAGACAGGTTTTACTGTACCATACAAAATTACTAACTCCATACAATGGATATATCATTTGCGGGTAACTTTCACTTCTGTTTGAAGTCCAATTACGCTGGGAAGAAAAGCTATTGAAAATGGCGCCGGAGTATCATACTTCAAAATGTACCATTTCTTGTTTAACTTTCTAATGGCACGATATAGTGACACGATAATATTTACACATGGTTTCAGCATAACTATGAAGGTATAAACGAGATTTTGATGTATTTGGTCTTTTTAATTCTTTTATAAAAAATAATGTTTAATTTTTTTGTCCGCTGTGACGGAGCAGTTGCAAATGTGAACTGTGAAAATGCTCCGTCACAGCGGACAAAAAATATTAATATTATTTTTTATTAAAAAATTAAAAAGACCCAATGCATTAATATCTCACTAATACATTCAGAATTATGCTTTAAACATATGTAAATATTATCGTGTCACTATATCATGCCATTAAAAAGTTAAAAAAGAAATGGTACATTTTAGAGTTTGATACTCTGGCGCCGTTTTCAATAGATTTTACTCCTAGCGTTATTGGACTTCAAACAGAAGTGAAGGTTACACGCAAATGATATGTCCATTGCATGGAGTAAGTAATTATCTTTGATATAACGAAACATATGAGTTAAAAAATAAATCGTGAAGCATTCTTAGTGTTTTTATGAAAAATAGCATGCTCCGTCACAGCGGACAAATCTTTCGATACCAGCCTGTGGTTAGGTATCGTTGTAAACACATTGTAGTATTGACCTAAAAAAATTGTGCGTCCAAAAAACGGAAATGTTTTCAATTTTTGCGTCCTCCCAATTATTTTTGAGTCCTTAACATGTACGGGACGCCCTTAATGCAAGCCCTGGACTTAAGATTCTGTGTACTTAAATGTGACTTTGATTCCTGTGCATCAGTGCTGTCTAATTTGGTATCCGTCATCATTTCTGTAACCAGTCAACTCAGGTTTTTGTACAGGTCAACTCAAGTATTCAATCAAATGGACTGTCAATCAAATCACAGCCCAACCATTTCTACATTGTTTAAAGGCCTCATATAAAGTTTGGCTTATATTACAGTCCGAACTAATGCTATCAAAAAGTGATATGTGAAACATTATTAAGTAATAATTTACACCAATGCATAAGATACATCCTAACCTATTTTATGTTGAAAAATTAAGAAAATTGGTTGAAAAATAAGCTGTAATAATGTTTAGAAAATATTGTTATGAGAAAAAAAATCGACATATTTTGTAAAATGGCGGGAAGTTCAAGTATTTGAAAATTATAAGATGAAAAACTTTTTTCCAAGACCACATTTCTAAAGTTACATATTCCTTTGATTTTTATAAAAACGCCAAAAACAGCTGCGGAAATTTCACAGAATTGGTATTTCCCCTTGCAGAATTCACTAATTTCGTTGGATTCAGCATTTCAACTTGCAGAGAACTTAAGGAGGAGTGATCTTCTCAACATATTCTCATTTAAATGATGCCATCCTTGAAGCATTTGAGGTTACATATTTAAATATGTATTGACTGTAGATTTGAGATGTTTGAGTTGAATTACTGATTCGTGTGTCCATATTAAACATGTTATTCCAGAGCTAATACCAGAAATCCAGGGTCTTAACTTTTTCAGTCTAAGTGGGTGTTATGTAAACTATAGGAGTCTGTATATTTTGTATGAGAAAACTTATATAAACAGAGTGCTGATATTGATCTATTAAAAGTGAAAAGAATCAATTCTTTTTCTTGATGATACGTGTATATCATATTGTTCAAGGATTAAGTAACATTGACAAAGAATATTCAAAGAATGATCAATGTTAGTTTTTAATTTAAAAATGGTAAAAGATGGTGAATAATAATTGTATAATTATAACACTATACCTATTGGAGGTTATTTTCCCAATATATATAGTACACAGGCCCATAGCCAAGATTTGCCGGGGGGGGGGGGGTTCACTTTTGACAACTTTGGCCCAAAAGAGCCAAAATCACTTGAAAGTGCTCATAATGGTGAAAAACAGCTACCGGCCTGTATATATTGTATATAAGATATACCATACACAACATTTCATTGGTCGTTTTCCTCATGAAAAATTAATATTTCTCGCAAAATTCAGTAAATTCAGGCTGAGAATATCTTCTGAAAATGTTATCTCCTAAGATCTAATTGACTACCATTGTTTTCATGAGATCATCATTCATGAAAACTGATTAAATCCCTATAAATTATATGCTGCAACATGTGATAAATAAAAATGAGAAATTCATTTTCCTAGATAATTGATTCTAATATGTTGCTCTGTTTTATTTTCCTTTTATAGCATTAAACTATGCATAAGAACGTGATGTTTTATGTTTTTATTTGCAGGATGCAGTTAACTTCAAACAAGCCAGGAAGAGGCAACGAGAATTTTTTAAACATTTAACAACAACATTATTTCTCTGATATACTGAAAAGATAAATAAAGCGAACAGGATATTTCAGTGCTGGAAAGGAACAAAAGAATACATGTACAGGATATTTTAGTAGAAATTAAATGATTCTGTTTGAACAGTTGTTAGCTAACGGAAGGTTTTAACAAGGAACAATATATCTAATTATGTTTTATGGTCGACAATATTAATCATATATTTCCATGCGTGATATATATGTCTATATGTGGCAAGGTATAGTTCACTGCTACACCCACACATTCCATTGTTTTACACTTGCTCGGAGGCGGGAAGTCAAACAACATGAGACATTTACAATATTAAAGCTTGTGTATGTTTGATAATTTATTATATAATTATATGTATTATGCAGAAAGGAAATTCTCAATGCTACAGGTGTTTTGACATTGGTGCCTGCTGTAGCTGAGCTTACCTTTAATGTACAGAAGCATAAACTCCTCAAAGTGATAATTTTATGGATTATTGCAAGGGATGCTTATTAACGTTAATTGGCTATTGATTCAGTGAGCATTTTATTGAGAATCGTCAATTTACGCGATTTGGTTTGTTTAATATTGATTGAAACAGTGGAATTATTAATGCTAGCATATTGCGTATGCTGGATTGATAGTCAATTGTATTTTATATGAATTAGGATCTGGTTAATTATGAGAAACAGATGAAGAAGCTTCTATCTTATCTCATGTTAACGGAAAAGTACTAGATCGATTTGGAGTATGGAAGAAGATTGAAATCTTCGTTGGAGGTTTTCGTAGATCTATGCATATATAGTCATGCTAAAGAGGAGATGGATTAAACATGGAAGGAAAAACTACTTCAACACATGAAATGTAGAGGAAAAAATTGTAGATTTTCTGAACATTTGTTGTTGCTACATTGACCATAAATACCATAGTAACTCAGTAGCTGTCATCATGGCAACTTACACAGAACAATATATAGAAAACAGTCCCTCTCCCGAAGAGATAAAGGAGATGATGGTTCAAAAAGCTCATGAGTTATTTGCTGTATGTGACCTAGAAAATAAGGGATTCATAACAAAACGTGACATGCAGCGATTACAATCGGAGCTTCCTCTCTCTCCAGATCAACTTGAAGATGTGTTTGACTCATTGGATGATGATCAAAATGGTTTCCTGACCCTAGAAGAGTTCACAGAGGGATTTGGTAAGTGTTGTAAACATAAGGACCTGGGAAGTTGATTCTTTATTAAATGTCATGGGTTTTTAAGGTCAGACTCACTTAATACAGTCAAATCAGTTTCTGTAAGTTTACCTTCTTTCTTTTCAATAGTCACTTCTCCTTTTTGAATACTTTATATATTCACACATTCAAAAGTAATTTTAAGGTCAATGACAGTGTTTTTTGTATGAGTTTAATCTCCAAACTCATACAGTGATCTCCCCAGCATTAAAGCAGGTAGGCGCAGCACCCACCTGAGATATTGAAAACAGGCCTGCACCCACCTGAAAATTAATTTGTACCCACTTGAAATGAGAAAAATCATTAAAAAATTGGCATATTTTTACCAATTCTGGTCTGAATTGTGAAAATGAGAATTTGCACCCAAATAAAAGTTCTTTGGAGAACACTGTCAGATAACCTGCACAAACCAAAAAACACCCACAACTGCAACTAGATTATACTGTCATACATTTGTATTTGTTTCAATGTGACTCACTTGTAGCAAGTTTCTAGTCATCCCCCATAGTTAAAGAGAATGAGGGGTACAAGGGGCTTGATGCAAGTTTAAATTTGCATTACCTTTATGCTGTATTCAGGTAGCTTCCTTGGTCTTGGAGGGTCTATTGAGAGACACAATTCCATAGAGAGTACAACCAGCTCAGAGAAAGTTTATGGGGAGGAGCAGACGGAAGAAGTTCAGAATGAGGCTCATTTTAAGGATATGATGCAGACGGTTGGTGCTAATGGCATTTTTGATGAGTAAGTGGATGAAATGAATCTTTGTTTGACTTTTCATCAGCCATCCATGAAAAAATCAGTATTAATCGATTTGGCATTGACATATTTCAAAATTGGCTTTGTTTGACACATCCATGTAGTAACTTTAGCTAAAGCCATTGATGATGTCCTCCAGATTATTAAGGCATTTGATCAATTAATACGTTGAGATTACTTTATGGAGGTCGATGGAGATATGAAGACAGGGAATTCTTATAGGGAATTTCGTCCAAATGTTGACAGTTGAGGAATTAGGCAAAAGTTAATTTTGTTATGTTCCTCCCCCTCTACTCTCATATATCCAAATTGTGAAATTGTGAAAATTTTGATTAGCCATTCACTTTTCAATTGAAAATTAACAAAATCTTCATTTACGCCCTCTCCTGAACAAAATTAACTTTGCTCTTCAGCAACTGTTGACAATCGGACACCATCCATCAGTTATAGAATTCCATCTGTTTGGTATATTTCCTAGGTATAAGGTTGAATTTTGTTTTAATTATTTTTTTCTCAATGCATGCTTCAGAAATGTTTTCTTTATTTGGTGTATTTTCTGACAATTTCAGATATCATGAACATGTATCATACTCTCTATCTTTGTAATTTATATTCATGAAATTCTGTCAGCTGGTGAAAGACAAAACAATTTTTCTTTCTGCAAAGTTCATATGGTATCTACACTGTATTATATTATAGATTCAGACACAATGCATTATCATCATACCACATGTCTTTATTATGTCCTGTAAAACATTGGTTTTTATGTCACCACCACAAGTGCAGTAGGTGTTCTGCATTCGGCGTTTGGCATCTGTAACAAATGGCAACTTATTACATGTTAATGCCTTCTTTATCTTGAATTTTAAAATTGATGCAATCATTAGTAATTATTAGTAACATTTATTGGTTAACACTTTTCTGAAGTTAGTAGTTTTTGGACAGATCTGCTTAAATGCAAAATTCAGTGTTGTAGTTTCTGCTCATCTATAGTACATATCAGATCTTTTGATCATGTCTGAATTTCATAAAACCAATATTACATGACATTGCTATTACTATATACTCCCACTGAATTTAATTTTTATCATTGAGATCAATTATTACAAGGAGTATGCTGATATTGATATTTATCTGAGTATTGTGATACCTGTATGATAATACAGGGGCATAGCCAGCAATGTCAAGGGAGTGTGATGTTTTGGGTTTGCATCACTGCGAGTGAAGCGAACCCCATAAAGTGGGGTCCAGGGTTCACCCTTCACACCCCCCTGGCTATACGCTCATGTAACAGCCAGTGATATTTTTGATATCATAGAAATCTGTGCGAAATTTCATAAAATTGTTTGACTCATAATATTTGTATTTGTATGTTTTTCATATTTTAATATCAAACACGTGCATGGGATATCAACGTTAGTACCATTTATTAGACACATGCAAATAATGAAGAAATTCATATTTCTGGTCATGATATTGTTAATCTGAAACATAGGACCAAATCCTATGCTAAGCGCTAATGTGAAAAAGTCACTCGAGTGATCATTTCTTCTAATATCATTTTTTATCCCATGGTTACAAGGATATAGATCGAATATCATGTGAAGATATAATTGATACGTGGATAAAGATATCATATTTTAGCAAACAATTCCCAAACCATCGAATATCACTTTTGAAACCATCGAATATCACTTTTTGAAAGGTGATATTCGATGGTTTTAAAAGTGATATTCGATGGTTTCAAAAGTGATATTCGATGGTTTTGATTTTTTCAATTTTTTTTTATTAATTCAGCAAAACGATTCTTTATATTTTTTTTATTTTTTGGATTTAGTTTTACGGCGTTCGCATTAAATACAAACCACCCCGTTACGTCACGTTTATGACGTTCTTTGAATTATTGCAATCAAAATGTCAGACGATTATTTCAGTGATTTTCAAATGTTCGCTGGATAATAATTCCCAATGGGATAAACGGACAATCCTATGGTTTTTCAAAAATATCACTTATATCTACTCATGGATATCAGTATCTTCACTCATTCGCTGCGCTCACTCGCGAATATATCAATATCCACTCATGGATATAAGTGATATTTTTTCAAAGCCATAGGATATTACTCTTTTGTGTTGATACTTAATATCAATCAGTAAGTAAAATGACATCTGAAAATGATCAAAACATTGATGAAAATAAAAAAAAAAAAAATCTTATTTTTTCTGAAATATTCTGAATTCTGAATAGGTGTGACACCATAGACGCTAATTAAAATCTATAAAGAACAAATACCAGAGCATTATATACATTATACTATACATGTATGTAGTAAATCATTATTCAACCAATCAACCTGATATTATAATTAGATAATTCTGTGTGCATGCCATTTTATATCATATAGTATAAGATTTGCTCATTTTGTTTTTTCTTTGATCGATTATTTCTTTATTTCACCCATTAGGTGATGGAAAATTTACTTATATGGGAATACATTTATAGATAAAGTATATTATCTGTTCATTTCAATCAATACACAATAGAATATATCTACCAGTCCTGTATAGGTTTAAATACAGGTAATATATTTTATCTGAAATTAAATTTTTGTTCATCTATATATTCCTTCTTTGTCTTGAATCAATATACTAGTGACACTCAGTGAAAGGTGTACTAACGTAAGTACCAATATGGTACATTTGCCATGATGTCCAATGTATTTTACTCCACAGACCAGCATATAAATTCAGTAAATGTTAGAGGCTCTAGAATGAAAGTTGATCGTGTCAAGTTATCAGAAAATAAAAATTATTTTTGAGAGTTTGAATTTTTGAGTTCTAATTATTGGGTCAAACTTCAAAATTTAGGAGAGATGTCTTGAAATTCTTTGACACCCTCTCTCTTTCAATAAGACACTTGATTGTGATTCAGTTCCTGATTTATGTTGAATTAAATCTGTTGAACATCTGTACCTTATAGGTGCCATTTCTTGAAACATACTTGATTAACTTCATCGAGGAGACTCTGACCTATAATGATCACTTCTTTGGGCTCCATTGTCTCTCCATGGCTGCTCCAAGGTGTTTAAAGGTCTAACTGTGCACTTATAGAATTCAGGAAGGGTTAGTGTTATATTGATTCAAGATAGCACTCTGCATGTATTTGTCTTTTTACTTTTATTTTTAATTATTTAAGAACCCTATATACTGAAATCATCATCGAAAATGGTGAAACTGATATTGCCAAAACTGATGAGGAAATGTATTTTAACGAAGTGATGCAAAAAACTGAAGCTGACGGCCTGTTTGAAGAGTAAGTTAGAATTAAAAAAATCAAAAAGTGAAAGAAATGTTCATTTTATTAAGAAGTGTATTGAACTTTTTCTTTTCTTTATTTTTTTGTGTGGTTGAGGTTTTAAATACAGTATTTTTGTATGTTGCTTTACTTGATTATATTTGTTTTGAAAGCATCTATTATCTTTGTTATCATTTTTTAATATGATTATGTTATTTTTCTTTGTTGATACCATAGTTAAGTTTCACATTCATATACATTTGTGCAGTTAATTTATTGAGATCATTTGGTAAATATACAAGTTTGTTACGACTTTAATCTTGTGTCTGTTGTCATGAAGAATTTTCTAGCCATGTGCAATGATTTACCAGGTGTTGACACGTTGCCATGTTAATGCCGTTACTTGTCTTTGTAGCAATATGGCAACTAAAAGCCAATGAAATTGCAAATATTTGATTCCAGAATGTTTGAACCAAATTGAAACAACCATATTAATCATATCGGAACATTCAATTTAGATTGTTGAGCTAATACAGAAAATAAAAAATTTTCCTCCAGTCAAGAAACCATCAAGGCTCTGTGGTGCCGACTCTGTAAGGACGAACCAGACTTGCTGACAGGTTTCGAAGACTTCTTGTCTCGAATGGCGCTGGAGATTAAGCGTTCCCAATCAGACTTTGTCACTCTGGAGTCTGCACTAAGAAGGTATGTTGCTTGATGTTGTTTTCTTTTTTATATCAAAAAATAACATATGATCATAAAATGTTTCCTGAGAGTTTGGGAAAAGATTTCTTGGAAAATGATTTTTCAAACATTCATTATCCCATCGAATGAAGTTCGGAGGGATATAGGGAACGCCTCCGTCCGTCCGTCCGTCCGTCCGTCCGTCCGTACTTCCGTCCGTCCGGGCAATATTTTAAATACCATTGGCCCGATTTTGTTCATATGTTGTACACATATACCCTATGGGGGTAGAAGTTCTGCTCGAAAGCTGATTTTCAAAATGGCCACTCATTTAAAAATTTTAGCGCCAATTTTACAGTTGCAATATGTAGTGGAGTGATTTTGTTCATATTTGGTATGTGAATACTATAAGCATGGCACACTGTCTAATGACACCTTTGGTAGAACATTGCCATTTTGAAAAATTGCTGCCATTTTTGCTATGTACTTTGTTTGTAAAAATGCCAGCCATGGCTGTTCGATGGGATTTGCTACACTTTGGTATTGCTGTTGTCTAGTTTTTATTGAAGTAGTTTTGTACCTCATTTTATCAATTGACAAAAGATGTTTTGTGATTTTGGATCAAATAGTAAAATCAGTTCTATTTTGAAGCATCGTACCATGTGTGTATGTGCCTGATATTTCTTCCAATAAACGCCTAGGAACCTACAAAACACATAGTATTCTACATACAAGAGTAATTTTCAGATATATCAACCAATTTCAAATACTGGTGATTAATTATTCAATATTATTTATATGTACAGTAATCAATTATGTCATAGATATGGTGAAAAGATAATTAAGACATGATACATTTGTTTATGTTAGTTGTCTTACATACTCAGCATTTCAGCATTTATCCTTCTACATGCATACTATGATAAGATTCAGATAACAAACTTATCTCAATGTTGATATGTGAAATGTTGATATCAAACCGACTGCTTAAAATGTCAGTTAAGTAATGCTTTATATTCATTTATATAAAGTATCTATATTTCCTGAATTCTGTTTTTCTATTTGTAATTAAAATGGCTTTTTACTTTTAAATTCATGGATGTAAGGCACTGTCTGATATGTTCCAGGTTACATTCTTCACATTATCACTTTATCACATTGGTTGGATAAGTGGTTGGGTTGTAAATGGGCTTTTCATAAACTAGTAGTTACATTATCATGCATGGTAGAATGTTTCTCAAGAATTTTCCCCAAAATTTCACAGGTAAGTAGTTAGGTAGTTAAACAAGATCTTACCTTTATTGAGGATGTATGACAAACAGGTAAAGAGTAGATTATCCCTCAGAGAAGGTTTGGCTTGCAGTTGAGCAATTTAAAAATGGAAATACTTGAAGAAGGAAAATGTTAGACATGACCCCTTAATTTAATAAAACTTCTAACCATTTTATAGCATTCTTGATCCTGACATATGCATTACAGGTACTTAGATATAACATTGATCAATTGTAGAAAGTAATTATAAAACTAGTCCCCATCTTATTTGATCAGTTGATATGATACTTAAAGCACAAAAGAAATTAATCTAGAATGTGCAATTAGCATCTTACACATATAGGTCTAATACATGTACACACATAATTGTAAAAGAAGTATTAAGTAAAAGATTATGATAAAAGTGCATGCAGCTGTATATACCTGAGAAACATCCAGATGGGAGTACAAAGGTGTACATCTAGTACCATTTATACCCATCAGGTATGATATAGCTTCATTCTGAAATGAACCACTTTTTTCTTTATTGAAATTGCAAGAAGCACTTATAATTTAATTTCTGCACATTGGTATCATGTTAGTTGTATGGTACAGAGTGAATGGTGTGATGGTACTGAACCATGTAGGAATATTGGACTGTCTTTTTGTGTTAGTCTATATATAAAAAAAACTTAACCTGTGATAATTTATAATGGCAGGATTTTTCATTGCTATTTTTCAGAAAATAGGTCAGTTATTGATAATGAATAAAGCTCAAAATGAACAGTGTTTCTATTTTAGATTTTTTGCAACTCCTTTTTTGCTTAGAGTATAGTGCAGTATAATTATGAGGGCCAGTCAGTATAAAGCTAAATGTGTTCTTAAAATTATGTCGGAAGTAATCTTACATTAAGCCTCCATACCCCCCCCCCTCATATACTTCTCCAGACTAAGGATATTCAGAGGGAGGGGAGGTACAAGGACTTAGCAAGGCTTTTCAAATTAATGCAGTAACACCTTCACTGATTTTGCACTTTAATGGGCAAAGAAAAATCTAAGGAAATCAAGGATTTCAAGAATATTCATTTTTATAACAAGCTAAATTATTAGCCCCCTTCTCCCATTTTTTATTTTCAAATGGTTCACATTTTAACCTTTAAAGTACAATAGTACATCCATTCTATCTGATTATTTTTATATTTTATCAGATCCAGGTACTGCTAAACTACTGTAAAACATTCAATTTTTCCTACTTTAATTCAAGTGATTATGAGTTTGGAAAATATATTCAATAAATGACATTTGCTATGATTAATAATAATTAAATACCTCAATACTATTTACAGTATATAGCATGGGTTCATGCATGTGGTAATACTTCAAAAAGTCACCCATTTTGCAAACATAAAAAGTCAAACAGGCCCAGTTCATTGTATATAAAACTGATACAGTTCAGTGATGACACTTAACATCTATTTTATCTTAATGCACATCCCATGTGAATACATTATAATGATGTTAAAAACAGCAGGGAAATTAAACGGGCTGATGCACATCTTCGGAAATGAAATAAAAACCACTGTAATAAATGTGGGTATCTTTTCAATGGCCACATTTTCCCGTAGCTATGCACTTAACTGTAAGAAGTTTAATCTGACAACCAAAATATTCAAGTGTGTGAAAGTACATGTTAAAATATAAAATGCAAAGCAAAGAGAACATAAAATATTTTAAGTGGATTAGTATACTTTTAAATGCAACAGTATTTGTATAGTAGATGGATAAATTTTTGACTTAAGTTTTAGATTAACATTTACTGTGTTTGGGTAGTTAGAACTTCTAGTTGGTTAAAACACTCATAGGCAAGACCACATCCTATCTATAGTACTCAAGGTAGCAACATATGAACATTCTGTTATGCCAGAGCCCCTCACTTTGGAAGGATAAAGACAAAGGGGGCGCGACTATCGTGATGGCATACCAAGGCTTGTTACATTAAATGGAGCAAGGAATGATTTTATAACATGATAAATAACATGGAAGATATGATCAAAATAACTCCTTTACATGACATAACGATTACCACATGAGTAATTCAAAATGCAAGAAAACTGGACTGATATGAGCTTAACAAGAAGAAAGATCTCATGGCAAAAGATAAACAATAAAACAAAATACATGTAAAAATGGATTCGGATGATAGCATTGAATTTGCTGATAGACCACATAGAGATCTATATAGGTTATACTGGGATGATCTAAATGACAGGTAAAACAGACAACTCAAACTTCTACAAAGATTGTATTTATTTTAATGCATTTTGATCTTTTTGGAGATGTTATATTTCTGATTGTAAAGCATTGGTAGGCATCACTTGCAATTTGGTCTGTCTTTAAATCTGTTTTGATGATTTCCCTTTTAACCTTCATCTGCCATGTGAATTTAGATGCTGCCGCCTTCACTGGTGAATTATTGGAGAAATAAGTAAAAATCATCAACTCTTTTTATTATCGGAGTGGCTCCAGGACCGACAATTGTCGGTACTGGAGACTGTCCAGGGGTATTTGCTGGGGTACCGACAATTGTCGGCACTCTATCGTCACCTAGTAGTGCCAGATAGAGAACCGACAATTGTCGGTACGCAAGTGGCTGCTACGTGTTTTTGCTAGAGAGCCGACAATTTCATAAATAAATCCACTACTTTTACTAGAGATAACCTCATCACTGGTAGTCTAGTGGTTAGCGAGCACGACTCGAACACGCTCGGTCCCGAGTTCGAATCCCGGCAGGAACTATTTTTTTCTTTTGAGGGGGAGGCATAGTGCTTCTTTTGCAGTATGGAATCGTACAGGCATTAACTTGTAGTGAGCCATAATTTATTTCGACAAAAATTGATTCAACTTCCATCAAAATTGTCCTACAAGCTTCAATTAAAAAACATTTTAAAGCTCTTTTCTTCTTCTATCTAATGGGTCGATATATACAGTTAGGGGAGGGGATGCTTTTGCCCCCGTCGACCTCTACCCTTGCTACGCCATGGCACAGGAGAAATATCTCATTTGGAATATATCACTGTTTACTTTGCGTTTGGTAGCTCTCTCATTCGAGATGGAATCGTGGCCATTAACTAAGTGAGCCAAATGCAACTTCCATCAAAAATTGTGCTATACGGTATGAGTACCGTAATCCAACACCAAATTCGAAAATTCATAACAATACTTTGCACATATGGCGTTCATGACCAACTATGAAACGCTTACCCCCCATAGTGTTATATATCAAAATGCACCTGTCCATATAGGGGTTCAATTGACCTACATCAAATTATAGGGAGTCAGGTTACTTTTTGAGATATCAGCGTCCGTTTATTGTAACTTGCGTTTGCTACCACTTCCTCAATTCTGATATGACGGGCAAACGCGCAGTAAACATGCTCACGTTCGGAACTATTTTGACCTACATCGCTATTTTCGTAATTCAAATGAAAGTTGAACTCCTCTTTATTTTGATACCAAATAGTGGCATAGTAGGTACCCTAGAAGCCAACTATGGGTTATTTAGAACGATACCACAGGTTTTTAAATGGACTATATATACCTTTTGGGGGATGGATATGGAACCTCATACCATACGATAAGCTTCAAATAAAAAACATTCTTGCTATTTTCTTCTATCTAATGGGTAGCAAACGCCCCTTTCTACGCCTGATCGGCTCAGGAGAAATATCCTGTCTGTTTAGAATATATATAGCCGTTTACTCTGCATTAATAGCTCTCTAACGTCTTACTTGTTCATGATTTTGCACCTGTTCCCAAAATATCCGTAAGATATCTGAAATATCCCCCCGCGCATTGCCCATGCGCCAGAAAATTCAAAAATCAATATTTGTCGGTCCTTTAGCGTGTAAACACAGCATATCTCCCGTACCGACAATTTATTTGTCGGTCCTCTAGCGTGCCACCACATCAGAGTCTAGAGTACCGACAATTGTCGGTACTCTAGCCTTTACGTTTTATTATATTTTTATATTTTTAAACATAACACAACAGGATACATGTATGGTTTACAAGACACTTCAATATTTTTCATTTCACCTCCATTAATTCAGCTATCTGCTACATATATACCATTTAACCTCTGGTATATATAAAAACTTTGGATTGCTTATGTGACAAAAATTGCACATTTTTGAATAATTTCACATGCGAAGCCATAATTATTTGTTTGCAATGGCAGCAAAGCCAATAATTAAAAATACCCCTTGGTAGCTAAAAGGCCAAGAATGTAAGAGGGAGATATAAAGTAAAGGTTAATCACAAGTACATGCACAAAGCATAATAAATACACTGAAAAATTAAATGGCCAGTTTAGATATACATGTATAGATTATGATTTCCTCCTAATATAATGGAGATATGATTTAAGCAAAGAGTATACTTAATGATATAGTTTTAAAAGTAAATGTAAATCATTTAGTGTTTGTTAGTGATTTTTATGGCCAGTGTGGCAATTTAGATTATGATTTCAACAACAGGATTTTCTCAGAGATAGAGCAAAGAGTATTCTTAAAGATAGCATTAAATTGTTGGCAGAGATGATTTCAGCAAAATTAAAAGTATACCCCCAATCCGCAACATCATCTTGCAGTGCTGTATAGCACTGTAAACAGTTTTGAACAGTGCAGTTCGAGTACTGCGCTGTACAGCGATGTACAGTGTTATTCTACCATCACCTGTTTTTACAGCACTGCCCAGCACTGTTTCATTAACAGGGCTATTTGATGCTGTTTGAGATTGGCAGTGTATACTTAAATTTGCAATATGTTATTCTTAGAGATATGCTTTCAGCATCTTAATATGCTGAAAGCATATGACTTTCTGACCTCATAATATTATTACAGGCATGATTTCAACCATAGGGTATTCTCCTAAGAATGATTTAAGCATCAGGATACTCTCCACAAAGATATTTATTGAATGTTGTAGTCCCAAAACAGGAGGTACATCGTTACTATGTTAACGATAATCAAGGGGATAAGTAGTCAGAGGATACTAAAAAGAAGAACCAAGGTGACATTAGAATATGTCATCTTCAGAACTTGACACAAATATACATTAAATACATGTGAATGATTATATGTTTTCAGTAAAAGTTCAGCTCATGACGAAGAAGTACACAGATTGTATGAAGAAATGGAGACTCAGATAAAACAGGAAAAAGAAAGAATTCTGACTGAGGTAGGATACCCTTTTTTAGTAGAATAGGGGTAAAGCTAGTATATTATCGCTGGAGCAATATTGTAGTCCAGTTTAAGCCATATAGATAATCAGAATGAATATTGTTATTCAAACCATCATCAGAAGTCATGGCCTTCTATTAGTTTCTTTCTAGAAGGCCATGAGAGAGTTTATGAGTCTACTTTCTATCTGGCCCCGCAGTCCGTACAGTTTTCTTGAAAATCTTGAAGACCGTTCAAATCAAATCAAGCAATGATATCATTTTAAAAGACTATGAACATCTTGATGGAGTTTTTTTATTTTAGCCTAATTGGGGTCATAAAACTAAAAAATGAGTTGATACCATTTAAGAGTTAACAACTAATGACGGCAATACAATATTCTGCAACTCTGTGTTGTGTTGAAATTACCATTCAATGTTTTCCCATTTACATACCAAAAAATGAGATCATGTAATGTATATCCTATGAATAGAAGTCCCATTTCCAATCAGTGAATATTGAACACTTTTAAAGGTAAAATCAGATCATATTAATCCTCTATATGTACAACTATACATTCTCATGTTTGATTATAGGAGCAGGCCAAAGAGAAGGTATTGCGAACTGAAATGGAGAAAGAATTAGCAGCCAAGGACCACATGCTGCAAGATCTCATCAACAAACACCAAGAGGTGATTTCAGTTTATGTATAAAGACTTTTACACCAATATAATTTGGCATCAGATTATATATTGAGATATTTTAAACTTAGATAAGTAAATCTCATACCTATTGAGGTCCTAGGTACGTATATAACATGAATATACACAATGGGAATAGTCTATAAGGGAGCGAAATGGATATTTCTGTTGCTATTCCAGTATCACCAAGGTGCTCCACAAAAAACAACACTTAAAATCCTGAAAAATTTCATATTCTTAGAGTTTTAATAGTAATATTATGAAAGATCCATTTTTAAAATTACATAGGGTAGAATATACCTAGAACCTCAGCATATTATATAGGATACATTATGTTAAAGGTCAGTTTTAGGTTTTATTCCTTTGCAGAAATATATGTACCTCATATTGTCCCTCAGGGTAAGCCCAGGGCCCAAATATCCCAGTTCATAAGCCTCGTTTATCTTTTTTCATCTATCTCTTTAAGTACAAGTTCTCTGTGAGAAACAAGTGAGCTTTCAAAGTCTTTATGTTATCTTTATAAAACATCAAATCCTTGAATAAGAACTCTTCAAATCTTCAATAATTTGATGCTGTATTATATTGCAGATGGAGAGAAAGATTAAAGAGATGAATATGTCAGAATCAGAGATCAAACAGGAGAATGACTTGCTACAAATGGTAGGTTGTAGGATGGAAATAAATGGGACTGGTGTAAAAGATTGATGCTATATTGCTTATTTAAAAAAATAGTTATACATGTTTATCCCACCTTAAGTGCTTTATATGATTGTATAATAGCATTATACAGGGCGTCTCTCCTCTTTGCAATGATATGTCATTCATTCACATGTGGTGATGGTTGGGTGAGAAATCCTTCCATTTGCACAGTGGGTCAAAATCAGCTCTGGGCCAAGTTTTAGATATTGAAAAAATCAGTGCAAGGGCTAAGTGCCAATGGAAGTTTCCCTGACTTGAATTCTTGTGACTTTTTCTTTTGGAGCTCTCTCAGGAGCATCTGTGCTCACAATTCCTTCACCAGATATTGTACAACCTCGAGAAAGAATTGCCCATGGGCTGCTTTTCTCTGCTTTAACCCACAGATGACTCAGGGCTGAACCATGCATGACGTGGACAGATGAGCGCATCTTTATGTGCAAGAAGTGGTGGCAATTTGGAGGGGTATTGGATGTATTCTTGCAAGAGTATGAGTATCTATGAACACTTTACTGTCTATACCACACCTGTCACACCTTCTTCCAATAGCCCCTATGCCCGTTGTACTCACTTTTGCAATGTTTAAAACTTTGGGTCCAAGCTGAATTTTGCCCCACTCAAAATCAATGATTATTCGGCCAGCCATGACTCCCTGTGAATGAATGATATTCCATTGCAAAGAGGAGTAATCCGACTTTTTGGTATATTGAATGAAAAGGATGCAATCAGCATTGGTTTTATGTTTTCTTCCAATATTGCATCGGGCTCCGTACACTGACTTTTGCGATTTTTATAACTTGGCCCAAAGCTAATTTTGGCGCACTTTGCAAATGGAATGATTACTCTCCCAACCATGACCAAATATCAATGAATGATATATCATTGTAAAGAGGAGACACATGGCTTTACGGTGCATTGAATGAAATCAATGCTGTTATCACTGGTTTTGTGCTTTTCCGAGACAACAATCAGTTGCGTTTTTTTTTATACACACTGTATAACTAATAGCATAATATAAAACCAACACTCATCGTATACAACTCTTGAGAACGATATACAACTCCTGGATAGTGTATACAACTCCTAGGCAGCGTATACAACTCTGACTTGATATACAACGGCTCAATTTAGGGTGGGATAATAAGATCATATAATGGTTGATTCTGTATATTTATACTCTCGTGAGTATATGTTTTTATACTCACTTGAGTATAAACACGATATATATAGAATAAACCATTATATAACCTCATAATATATTCCTAATAAAGTAAAGGTACAAATATAAAATCAATATTTTATATTTGAAACAGGAGTGTCCCATTTTTTGGATCACCCTGTATCTTACATACAACAGTTATAATCTGCCTTCAGTACTATACTGTATTATATTGTGTATACATTCTATATTAAGGAGCGAGACAGACTGGAGGATCAACTGAATGAATCTGTTCAGAGTTTAGAGGACAGTAGGTCATATATCAACCAATTACAATCTATGCACAGAGAAGAGAAGCGATCTCGGGCCAGGTAAATACCCATATAATATATGTACACATAGTACTACTAAAATGTACACATGTAGTACTAAAATTGCACAATACATGTATACTGACCTGCATATTATAGATAATTGATTTTGCTTATAAATGTATTATAAATACAATTCACATAAGATTTTGAGGTATATTTTGTGAAAAATAAACTTTTTATGTTTCAGGCATGCAATGTCTATCAATGAAGGTATAGCTATGGAGAGAGAGACTCTAGTCACTCAGCTTGATAGTCTCAGGTAAATATACATTTTTTCACCTGATAAATACACATTTTTGCAACTGGTAAATCTACATTTTTGCACCTGGTAAATATACATTTTTGTACCTGGTAAATATACATTTTTGTACCTATATAAAGGTACGTACATCTTACTTTGAAAACTTCAAAAACAGTGCCTAAGTCATAGGTGCATATCTATTTGTGAAGTTAATATATATTTTATGATGGGATGATATGCAATATCTTCATATTTTTCAGAAAGTTTGAAGTAAGGACTGCAAAAACAGAAATAAAATTTCAAGTATTTATTGAAGTACATAAAGGTTTTTTTTGGATTGCCTAACTACATGTAAAGCCTTTTCCAACAATGAATTTATTTTGACAATATGTACAAGTACTATATATTGTTTTAAATCTTATTTCAGGAATTTGAATAAGAAGTTACAAGATGACAAGGATGAAATAGAGGCTTTGAAGGTAGGAATATTTGAATTTGTTTTTAAGAATTCAAAGTATCTCATCTCAGTCTATCGTAGTTCATTTAAAAATTCTCAACGTTTTTCCTGCAGAAGGGAAGTATTTCTGAAATTTTGAATAATATGAAGTCTCTGAGTATACATCACACTACCCTACCCCCATTTGTGGTAGACTTTTTGGCCACCAACATTAAGTACATCAATAATGTGTAATGTGTATACCATTGTAACATTGAGGTATTCAAATACAAAATCTTGAGAGAACAAGCTATATTTTCTTCTCTAAGATGTTTACTCCATGAATAAAATGAAAAAATACTACTAATTCAAATCTATACTTCCATGCTAACAACACTAGGCTAACAGCAGCCTACAGGATGAACTTAGCCAGGTATGTTAATGTAATATGGCTTAAATGTTGTGAAAACAAAATTATCTACAAATTAGAATTCACAATTTATTCTCAAAAAACATTATATTGGTGTATTTATTTACTATTGCTTGTATTTTTCCTCTTTGGCATTTAAGTTGGATGTATGGTGATTGGATCCTTACTTTATATAATTTTTTAGGGTTTGGTTTATTTTGTGTTTTTGATTTACCCAGCTGTTACTTTGTTCATTGAATTTCAATTTGATTAATTTCTCAACTAAGTAGCCATTGTTCTTGGGGATTGAAACATTGATATTATGTATTGTTCAACTACAGTACTCATATGAAACTCTCCTTAGGTCCAGCACCCCTGACAGCCAGGTGAAAAGCAACCATGAGAAGTAGAGCTCTAGCTATCCCAACTTCATTTCTCCCCTTCTCCCTTTGGTACATGAACAACAAATACCTACATTGATATATCAATTCCAGGCCATGTCCAGCACCCCTGTCAACGAGAAGAAATCAAACCTTGTGAAGCAGGGCTCTATCATGTCTAACTATTTCCTTGGAGACAGTACAGGACACAAAGGGTAAGTTATTTGGAAAGCAATATAGAAACATTTGACACATTGTTCCCTCCAGAACTACACAATTGTTGACCTTTAGGTATACAGTTTATTGGCTTAGTAAATTTACTGTTGGCCTATACGTATGCAGTTTGTTGATTTGGTGAGTTGTATACCCATACTTTTAACCTCAGTTTTACTGTTGATCTTGACATTGTCAAGAGACTTTGGTCTCCATCAACATTTAGATTTTAGGTATACAATTCATATTGTCCACCTTCAGAGAGATTAACAATTATAAATTATATACTAGGTTACACTAAGGACGTCTATTTCGAGATAGAGGTCCTTGGTTACACAATACCAAATCAATTATAGTACACAATTACAGTTGTAATGAACTGTGCATTTCCAGTGAATTTAAAAGTGCATTTTTGTCTAGAAATTCAATGGTTCTCAAAAACACTGTCTTATCTCAGAAAATCCTCAATACAGATTTGTGTATTGTATGTCAAAATCAGATGCACTTCTGAACTTCTTATTTTTATTTATTAGCTCACATGGTGAGCTTTTGCAATCACTCACTCGTCCGTCTGTCCGTCCGTCCGTCCGTCCGTCCGTGCGTCCGTCCGTCAACAATAGTGTCACGTTTTAAAACCTCTGTCGATAGGATTCCTGTTTTAAGTTATTTCTGTTCAACATCCATACAGAAAACTCCCCTATGACTCCCCGTTCAAAAGCTCGCCTATTTTCAAAATGGCCGCCATTTTTGTCTCGCGAAATTCTCTTTTGACCCATTTCCTAGCTTTACAAATAATTTCAGGTGTCCTACATTGTAAAAATCCATGTCAATGTAAAGAGTAGATATATGAAATAATTTTGTTACAAAAAATCAGTGAAAACTTATATCCATTTTTTTATTTTCAGCCATTTTAGTTAACATTGATTTGTCCATCTGACTCGCGAAATCCACTTTCCGTCAACAACAGTGGCACGTTTTAAAACCTCTGTCGATAGGATTCCAGTTTTAAGTTGTTTCTGTTCAACATCAATACAGAAAACTCCCCTATGACTCCTGGTTCAAAAGCTCGCCTATTTTCAAAATGGCCGCAATTTTTGTCTCACGAAATTCACTTTTGACCCATTTCCTAGCTAATACAAATAATTTCAAGTGTCCTACATTGTAAAAATCCTTGTCAATGTCAAAAGCAGATGTATGAAATAATTTTGTTACGAAAAATCAGCAAAAAATTGTATTGATTTTTTTTTATTTTCAGCCATTTTAGTTAACATTGATTTGTCCATCTGTCTCGCAAAATCCACTTTTGGACCATTTGCCTTAAACCCTCTGTTGATAGGATTCCTGTTTTAAGTTAATTTTGTTCAACAACAATACAAAAAACTCTCCTATAGGTAGTAAGCTAGGACACAAAAATGTTTTTACCAGTGAACAAATTGAAACTACTTGTTTCTTATGTATTTTTATGTGATACTTCAGAAATTTGTTGTCTGATGCGCCGTATCCGGGGCGAAAATTGCCAAAGTTGGGTTTTTGACCCTAATATAGAAAATAACAGGGGGTACTTTATTATCCTTGAATAACTTTTTCAGTTGATCCTTAATCATCACAATAACTTTACTGGAAGTTGTTAATATCATTCTTGATAAGTATGCAAAGTTTCAATGATCTGTAATTAATGGTTGTCATGGAAACCATGATCTTTGTTGAAAAAGTCCATAATTTGGGTAAAACCTGTACCTGTACATCATAAAGAATGGGCATTATTTTTCAAATCAAAAGATATCAGAACATGTTAGTACTCTAAAAGTTATCAGGACAGTTCAGACATTTGTTTAAATATAATGCATATTGTTATTCACATGATCGGTAAGTGTCAAAGACCATACAATTACATAGGTGATCAAAAGTGGGCATCGCCCTTATAATAGTAGGTGATTACCATTCCCTATAAATAAAGATTTTAAGTTGACTTGAGATACAATTATAATGTACTTCTATTACCATAATCTATATCAAGCCATTCTGGTAGATACATATTAGTGTTGTAGGTATTACATCAAACTAGGGATGGGGGGGGGGGGGGTCAGGGGGGGGGGGGGACAGTGGGGGGGGGGTAGAGGTACCCAGCTTTATATAAAACATATATAAAGTTTTAGTTCCATGTGGTACATTTTTCATTTTTTGGATCTTGTTCTGATTTATCTCAATATATAGGATATTGCAATTTACATTATTGGAAAGTGTCAAAGACAAATGTGATCAAAGATGGACTTTGCCCTCATAATGATAATAGAAGACCACCATTTTCTATAAATATGGAGTTTAACTTATGAGATACAATTATACTGGATTTCTATAACCTTAATTCATATTAAGCATTTCTAGAAAACACATTTAAGTATTGATGTTATTCCATCAGGATGGGGGAGGGGGGGGGGGGTCAATGTGGGGAGGGGGGGGACAAATCTAGTTAGCCTTAGTTATAAATCTCATCAACATAATTTTGGATCTTATAGAGTCAATCTCCTGGGTCATCTTCTGATTCTTCCCCTGGTGTTAAGATATCAACAATCTCTTGTGGTAGAATATCTGTTGTTACCCATCTTCCAGGTTTTTTAGAATCATTAAGTTTCCACCCATGTCCATCTGGTGCTGAAATATTAGCTTTTTCAAAATGGGCCATACGCAAGATAAGTGCCTGTAAGTTGGCCCTTGCTAAGTGAAGCATGGGGAGTCTTGACAAGGGGGGGTAGAGTAATATCTGTTCCTTCATAGTCCGTTATTGTTTTAGTATGGGGCCTAAACTTCTCTTTAAATAACACATATCTGACTTTGTTGATGTGGGATATTTGAGGTTTCCCATACTAGTATATGTTTCATATGTATGCACCCCCTCTAAACATACATGTAGCATTGCCACCGTATCATATTATATATCATTTTGTGCCTTATGGAAAGTTACATAGGATTCCAAAGTTTCAGAATCCAGGAATGTCACTGAAAAAAGTTATAATCTATCAAAGATTGTGGGTACCGGTCATTTAGATGGCAATTTCTGGTGATTTTGAGGACAATTTAAAGGACAAATTTAGTTTACGTTTTGCACATTTCTTGCTATTGTCACCATTGCAGAGCTCAGTCCACATGTCTGTGGCAGTTATGCACAAAGATATAGACAAGATTCATGCAGTGGCTTATAGGGAGGTCAGGAACCATGGGACCACCTTTATCACTAAAATTGGGTAGCAGACACAGTGAACAGATCACCGGACTGGCATAAAAATTCTTACAAAACTGCTTATAAATGACCCCCTACCCACATATTTTGTTGGATTGTATCTTTTTTCAGGGACACCTCTTTATTCTGAAACTTTCCAGTCCCATGTAACTTTTCATAAGGAACAAAATGACATATAACATGATAGGGTGGGAAAGCTACATGTATGAGTTAAATGTATGAGGTGCATACATATGAAACATCATTAATATGGTAAACAAACTTTTTCTACTTTACTGGTTTTATTTCGTCATTTATGTCTGCTGAGAGTCCTAGTCCTTTGAATGTGTCTGTATGATTCTCCCCCTTTGCCATTGTTTTGAAAGGTGTTTCTTTGCCCCTCCGAACCAAGGCACTCACAGTGTTACACCCATTGAAAGCGTGAAATGCTGGGAGGGCTTCACATATTTTGGTATGAAAGGATGAGAAGAGGCTTGGCAGCAACTTAACCAAAGGGAGAAATATAAGAGTCCTAAAAGATTGGAATGAGTTCTTGAAGAATGATGCAAACAAGAAGCAACTATACCAGTTAATGTTAAATGATTGGAAAAGACCACAATATGCTAAGAAAATGCAAGGCCAAGAAATGTACTGACTATGAGACACAAAATTATGTTGATGAGATTTATACCTAAGGCTGACTAGCATTGCCCCCCCCCCCCCCACCGATTCTATCCCCCCACTTCAAGACTTATATGTGTTTTCCAGAAATGCTAGATATGAATTATGGTAATATAACAGAAATACAGTATAATTGTATCTTATAAGTTATACTCCATATTTAGAATTTAGAATAGAAAGACATCATTTCTCATGATGAGGAATGACAGGGAAATTGATTTTTCCAGGTGCTGGAAATGTCAGGGAATGTTAAAATTGGGTCAAAAAGAGACAAAAATGTCCGGGAATTTTGAAACAGTAGAAATGTCAGGGTATTTTGTATCAATGTTGTTCCAGCAAAGTACATTTTAGGCTATGACAGGATATCAATGAAATTCAAATTCTAACATTCAGTTGTTTCCAATAATTGGAAATCTTTTCATTAGGGTTGACTGGATGACAATCTATCTTGTATTGTCTATTTGTAAGAACATTGTGAACATTATACTGAAACCGAACAATAAAGAATATACATATACAGTATGTATAGATGGTTCAATACAATTATGCTTTTCCTTGTAGTAAGTTAGTCTTAGGCCATTCATAGTTAATTATTGGTATATGTTTCATGTTTTGTTGAGGGTTTAATCTGAGGAGGGTGGGTGGTGAAAAACAATAACGATTCTGTGTAAAACTGTATTTATATGAGAAGCTGTCTTACATCAGTCTATTCACCTGCCCATCTGTCAAGGCAATAACTCAAATATCAGACTTTATATACTGATGCTTTGGTTATATGGGGCCTCTGCTCAAAAAGACACTCACCATTTTTGGTTCAGATTTATTTTGCAGATGGGCACATGACTCTGTTCAAGAAAAAAGCTTGTTGCTACTCAAAAAGTTGCTGTTTCCAGATGAGGTAATATTCCTGATAACACAAATACCGAATTTTTTATTTGGTATCATAGGACTATTCCGTATAGTGACGCTACTAGAGAAGGAATTTCTAATATGGTGTCATGTCTTGGTGTGAATTTTCCCAAAGGGGTGAAGACAATAGTAATGCCAGGTTATTGTTATCATATAATGTTAACAATGATCAGTAGTTGACAAATTATAGTTTGA